CATCCTCTGTGCGGACTGGCACTGACAGTCTGAGCTGCCGTCGGCACATTGCCCGTTTGGTGGACACCAAATCGGTCCACGTTCACCCTTCTTTTTTGCAGTGCCCGCTTGCCATTGCCATCGCCTGAAACCCCGTGCCCGAAACGCCCCACCGCCTGCTGAAGACAATCACCATCACCGGTTGTCCACTGCTGGCTTGTTGAGTGCTTTTAGGTGTGTGTGCAGTACAGTGCTGAAGATTGAGAGCTGCGAAATGTGACCTCTCAGATCTGACCCTTCCCTTTCCCTTTCCCTTCCCCCTCTACCTACCCATGTCTTCCATTTGAGCCCAATCGTTGGTGGCCGGCAAAGCAGTCTAAGCCATGTAACTTATTTGGTGCCCTTCTCACTCACACCCTTTCCCATTTCCATGTCTTCCATTCCTCAACTCCACTGAGGAACTTCCTTCTCACGCAGTCTTCCATTTTCTGATGTGATACAATTACTACCATAAAACAATCTCCGTTGTCTTCCATTTCCCCTTCCATTTTCAATCATTGATCTTCCATTACAATCACCATAAAGCAGTCTTCCAAAGGACCTTTTTCTCTTCTCCAAGAGCCTAATCAGCTTTTAGAAAGCTTGCACACACTTTGCACACTCATATCTTAAAACTTTCACAGCCATGCCAGTGGACGAAAAAGTAGCGAACATTTTCAATGCCTTCTCCGGCCTGAAGGAAAAGGTGCGCAGTCGAATTCCGGAGAATGTCACCGAAGCGGCGGAACGACTGCGCATCAACCGCCGCCCTAATGAACAACATGAGATGGGCACGTTTCGAAGTTTTGAACACCCTGACGGCACTATGGCCCCTGGTGCTGGGCCTGGAATGGTTCCAGGCTACGGGGGAGTCGGCGGCGGTGGTCAGCAGATGTACAGTGAGTACACCGAGGGTGGGGAGCAGCAGTTCAACGGCAATCCCTTCCTCACCGACAACGGCGCAGTAGGGGAAATTGATCCCCACACGGGCTTGAGCGGCAAAATCTCGGCATGGCAAGCGGGCTGGAATGTCACCAATGCAATTCAGGTAAGGGGGAGGGGGTTTTGTACTTGTTTATATCTCAAATAATTCCATCTACCAGGGCATGTTCATCGTCAGTCTGCCCTTTGCGGTGCTGCACGGCGGCTACTGGGGCGTCTTCTCGCTGGTCTTCGTCGCCTACGTGTGCTGCCACACGGGCAAGATCCTGGTGGACTGTCTGTACGAACCAAATGAACAGGGCCAGATGGTGCGAGTGCGAAGCAGCTACGTGATGATCGCAGAGGCAGTAATGGGCGAGCAGTACGGCGGCATTCTGGTGAACATCGCCCAGATCATCGAACTGGTCATGACCTGCATCCTCTACGTCGTCCTCTGCGGCGACCTTCTCATCGGCTCCTTCCCCGACGGGGCCATCGACCAGCGCTCCTGGATGATGCTCTGCACGATGCTCCTCCTGCCATGTGCATTCCTCACTGACCTCCACTCGGTGTCCACGCTCAGGTAGTTCTGTCTTTAACGATTATCATGTTCAGTGCTCTAACTCCTTTTTCTTAGCTTCTGGTGTGGCATCACGCACATCGTCCTCAACATCATCATCTTTGGCTACTGCTTCCTCCAGATTGGCGACTGGCAGTTCTCCAAGGTATGCCGGATTCTTTTTTGTTGAAGTTTCAAAGCTCACCATGTTTTCGTCATGTTTTCAGGTGACCTTCCACCTGGACGGGGCCACCTTTCCCATCACCCTGGGCATTGTCGTCTTCAGCTACACCTCGCAGATCTTCCTGCCCACACTGGAGGGAAACATGGAGAATCCGGCAGAGTTCCGCGACATGCTCGACTGGAGCCACATTGCCGCCGGCGCATTCAAGGTAGTTACTTGTGCTCTAATGAATTTGTACTACCTTTTTTCTACTGCAGGGCCTCTTCGCCTACATCGGCTTCCTCACCTTCGGCGACGNGCCACATTGCCGCTGGCGCATTCAAGGTAGTTACTTGTGCTCTAGTGAGTTTGTACTACCTTTTCTCTACTGCAGGGCCTCTTCGCCTACATCGGCTTCCTCACCTTCGGCGACGAGACGCAGGAGGTGATCACGAACAACCTGCCGACGCGTGGCTTCAAGATGCTTGTCAACATGACACTGGTGGCGAAGGCGCTGCTATCCTATCCTCTGCCCTACTTCGCCGCCTCGCAGCTCTTCGAGTCGGCGCTCTTCCGCAGCAAGCCCACTCTGGAGCGACCTGACGGCGAGGGCAGCCAGCCCTTTCCCACCTGTTGGGGACGGGATAATGATCTGCGTGTCTGGGCACTCACACTGCGCGTCGTTCTCGTCCTCTTCACCATGTTCATGGCCAGTGAGTGTTGGGCGGTGTTGAGGTGGTGGACAGTCAAATGCTAACACTTCAGTGCTTTTGTTCTAGTCTCCATACCTCACTTTGCCATTCTGATGGGCCTGATTGGCAGCTTCACCGGCACTATGCTTTCCTTCGTCTGGCCGTGCTACTTTCACATGAAGCTAAAGTGGGGCACGCTGGACATTCAGACCATCGCCTGGGAGGTCTTCATCATCGTCATCGGCGTCCTCTGCGGCATCATCGGCATCATCACCAGCTTCACGGCACTGGTGGAGGCGTACCATCTGCCGCTGCCCTATCAGGTGCCGCAGGCCATGTAGAAGGCGACCGAAAGCGGCGGAATTGGAGTGTCCCTAACTGGAGTGTGTTTGCCGATAGCGATATGACCGTTTAGAGTGTTGCTTGCCAGCTGTTCTCGTCTTCCTTTGCTCTCGGGTGTTGTACGGTGTTTCTCTGCTAGTCACTAGAACGTTTTCTGCGACATCTCCAATGGTGTGCCCAAACCGAAATATCCCCAGTTACATTCATTCACACCACTCACACATATCAATTTGAACACTATTGCCTTCGTTCTCCAAGTCTTCCAATTTCATTACCTGTTCTCCAACAAGTCTTCCACTGTTCATCAAGTCTTCCTTCTTCCTCGTTCTTCTTCTTCCTCTTCTTCTAATTCAGGCTTCCTCAACTCCTTTTCCTTCACTGAACACACACACAATCACACACTCTTTGTGCACGTGTGTGCTAATCATGTTTCCCTCAGTGATTCTGTTGTCGACAGCTCAAACGGCATTGCTGACATTTGTAGAGACATCTGAGCGATCTGTATGATCCTGTGCGGGGCGTCCACGCAAAGAATTATAAGAGAAATAGTCTGTTGACAGTCGTTTTGAATCTCGATGCTCAAGAGGGTTTTTCTTCAATTTAAAAATTCCACAGAATGTACTGCTGGCTGCGTGTGTAGAAAGCGCTGTCGTACCAGAGNCACGCAAAGAATTATAAGAGAAATAGTCTGTTGACAGTCGTTTTGAATCTCGAGGCTCAAGAGGGTTTTTCTTCAATTTAAAAATTCCACAGAATGTACTGCTGGCTGCGTGTGTAGAAAGCGCTGTCGTACCAGAGGATCCGCCACTGCGGCAATGCTGCGCTGGAGCAGCAGCAGCACAGATTTCCTTTGCCTGCATCGAGTAACAGCAGACCACTCTCTTCAGCTGCCGCTGCTGCTCCTCTCCTCAAACTTGTCTCGGCAGTACCACAACACCATCGCAACCACCACCACCACCATCACCACCACCGTCTGTCACTGCCGGTGGTATATAGCAGCCATCAAGAGGTTGTCTACCACTGAACATCCAACACACTGGACACAAGGAAGAGAGAGTGAAAAGAGAAAGAGAGANCAACTCCTTTTCCTTCACTGAACACACACACAATCACACACTCTTTATGCATGTGTGTGCTAATCATGTTTCCCTCAGTGATTCTGTTGTCGACAGCTCAAACGGCATTGCTGACATTTGTAGAGACATCTGAGCGATCTGTATGATCCTGTGCGGGGCGTCCACGCAAAGAATTATAAGAGAAATAGTCTGTTGACAGTCGTTTTGAATCTCGATGCTCAAGAGGGTTTTTCTTCAATTTAAAAATTCCACAGAATGTACTGCTGGCTGCGTGTGTAGAAAGCGCTGTCGTACCAGAGGATCCGCCACTGCGGCAATGCTGCGCTGGAGCAGCAGCAGCACAGATTTCCTTTGCCTGCATCGAGTAACAGCAGACCACTCTCTTCAGCTGCCGCTGCTGCTCCTCTCCTCAAACTTGTCTCGGCAGTACCACAACACCATCGCAACCACCATCACCACCACTGTCTGTCACTGCCGGTGGTATATAGCAGCCATCAAGAGGTTGTCTACCA